GCCTCGGAAGTAGTGGTCTTCAATATTGGGCTTGTAGCCAGTGGATAAAGAAATTGTAGGCCTATTGGGTTGGCCCAATAAGTCATATCACTAAGCCCCCCACTCTCGAGTCGATGTGGAGGCCATGTCGAAATGGGTTCCCGATCGTGTCGAGAGTAAAACTTGTAGTAGTCCCGCGTTGGCGTATGGTCTAGTGGTGTGCAAAAACATGTTGGAGCGTGGGTCAGAGGGGTGCGAAGGCGCGTTGGTGCGTGGCCGGACCCTTGAGACGGTAGTTCGGGGCGTGATCAGGTTGTCGCGATGGAAGTTACTTGAGTCATCAGATTTGTTTCGCGATGATGTAGTAGCATGGAGCGATTCTCTCCTCGTGGGAATTGTTTCGTCGCGGGGTAATAGAGTTGACCGAGTTATCTCCTCATGGGAGTTATCTCGCGACAATGTAGTGGCACGGGGCGAGTTATCTCCTCGTGGGAGTTGTTATTTATTGACATTGTCAATGGTTTGACGTGTTGCTTGTATGTGTTTACATATAGCCTTGTGCGTGATGTACTTGATGAGTGGATCAGGCTCTCAAGATTTTGTTGAAGAGGATCGTGCCCCTTGTTAGACCTCGTGGGTCGTAAGTATGTTTGGACCGTGGCCACATTTTAATGAAGGACCAGTCGAAAACAAGTAGAGAAATTTGAGTAATCAAGCTGGCCAGGCTATATAGATCCCCATAATATCTCGAAGTGTTTCTACGGTTGTAATCGTGATATCTTGATGTGGTGATTGTGTAGTGAATTTGTTTATTCACTGATTGCAAGCGAGTTGTCTCCTCGAGGGAGTTGTTTGCTGGACTGTTGAATGACGCGCAATGGAGGAGCGCGCGGGTTGAGGTCGCTTTGAGTGAGTTGTCTCCTCGTGGGAGTTGTCTCGTAGCGACTCGTAGTGGCGAGCGAGGTGGCTCCTCGTGGGAGTTGCTTCGCAACAGGTTCGTAGGACCGAGTGAGTTGGCTCCTCCTGACACTTGTCTCGCTGTGGGTTCGTAGTACCGAGTGAGTTGGCTCCTCGTGGAAGTTGTCTGTTAGAGTAGGTGACCGAAGAGCCAACTAATTGTTGTGTTTTCTCACACTACTCGTAAATAATCTATTTTGTATTATTGATAAAAAAAACCCCTTTCGCATTCTATATATTTATCCCTTGCATAAGCATAAATGTAGTCCTTACAGTTACTTAATTACTATAAATAGATCTAGTAGAATCATGAGATTATTTATTTAAGTATAGTAACTGTGAAACATCGTTCCTAGCCAACGGGTTACGCCACTAATGAGGATATCGGCATTTGTCATTCGAGACTAGCACTTAGTGTATGTGTACTGCGTCTCATCAGTCAATGATGTTGTGACATCGGCATACATAAGTGGGTGTTCATAAGTTGATGAGTTCACTGAACTCCCTCATTCTAGAGATCTCTAAGTGGTTCCCAATAATTGAGTAGAGGTTTCTATGATATAGTTGTACACCATACTTAAGACGCGGCCGTGACTTCACTAGAGGACCAGCTGACCTTTTTCTGAGTTCCACCGAGGACCGCCCCAAGGGCCAGTGTTCGTGCAGACTGAAATCTAGTGGGAGGTCTACGCATTGTAGTAGGGGATTCGATCGCTTGATCAGTCATGGATATCCTGAGTGTTCTTGCGATTTACAATCCATGACGTCCGTGGCCACATGTCAAAGTGTCGTGATTAAAGAAATATGTTTCTCTAAGTCAAACACGAATGGAATATATAATCAAGAACATCCACACAGTTATTGAACTCATAAAGAGGTCTCGATGAACCAATGCCTCTAGTTCAATCAGGATATATATATATTGAAGGGATCGTACTGTACGTTAACTATATCACACGGTTCTTGCAGGCACTTCATTTGTATCTAGGGAATCATGATGCATAGTTTCTAGACGCCAATCTTGATTCGTTGCGTAGTTAAGTTGAAACTAGCTTCAACTTAATTATAACTCTAGGGACAAGTTTAAACCACAATGCGTTGTGGGCCCACGACTAGCTTACACCTGAACCATCGAGGGTCACACTGCTCGTGTACTTGAGATCCTTAATGCAACGAGCTAAGATTAATTAGTTAATCTTTGTGTAATTGGAAGTCAATATGATTGAGTCTAACATTCATAATTGTTAATTACGGATGAGAATAAGTAGAGGAAAAGAATCCGACGGAAATTTAGTGAACTTTCTATAGTGGGAAGTTTCCCGATTTGGCAAGTCCTAAGGGTTTCCAATTTTAGAAATTGGTAAATTGCAAAGTGGTACTCGTATCGACGAGAATTTGTGCTCGCTGTCAAAATATAATTGTTATATTTTTGTGAGCATTCGTTTGTTAGAAACGAGCCGAGAAAGATAGTGGACTTAATTGTTGGAGCCTAGCTCAACTTAATGTCTGTTAGGGTTTTCACAAGGAGCATATAAATAGGATTTATATGTCTTGTGAAAGACACACAAAAACAAGGAAACGTAAGAATGAAACCCAAGCATCTCTCCCTCCATCAGCTATCCACCTTGCAGTCGAAACCCTACCTCCGCCACCAGCCGCCGAAACCCTACCTCCGCCACCAGCCGCCGCAACATCGGCATCTTCCTTTTCCCTTGTTCTTCTTCGTTGTACTTAGCCTATCACGTATCTAGTGTTGCGTGTATCGTGGATTGAATATACGAGGTGAAACCTAAGAAGAGGAAGATTCTTCTGTCGCCAACGCCGCAACCACGATTGTCTCCACGCGCTTGCACGCGCCGCCACAAGCCGGTGGTGCGATAAGGCAATTGTGAAAATCTGCTCTCGTATTTTCTGCGCAGTCCAGCGAGAAAATTTGCCATAAATCAACCAACGCTTGGATGGATGTGAAATTTCGACAGCAGCTTCCCATCTTATGGATATACAATACCCAAAATGGAATTGAAGATCCCGTTAATAACCATGGAGATATTAAAGTCGGAGCAGAACTGTAATTTCAGATCAGCAAACAGGTTGGACTATATATATATATACATATATATATATATATATATATATATATATATATATATATATATATATATATATATATATATATATATTAATTGAGATTAATATATGTTAATTGATTATTGAATCACATGAATCTATATGTTCGATTATGTGTTTATGTGAATTTCGTTGAGCATGTTTATTATTTGGTTTAATTTCACGAGCACGCTATGATGATTTAATTTATGTTATTTAAATTAATTATATATGGGACCATGTTTGTCGGTGATTGAAAACGAAAAGGTACGCAATTAATTGTAATATTGTGCACGTGTTTGTTTATATAAATAAAATAAATAAAAAATTATCTTCTGTAGCGTACACGTGCCCGATCCCCAACATTGTCTCACTGCGGGGACCGGGCGAGTTAGCTCCCCGTGGGAGTTATCTCGCTGAGGGCTCGTAGTACCGAGCGAGTTGGCTCCACGCTGGAGTTGTCTCGCAACGGGTTCGTAGTACTGAGCGAGTTGGTTCCTCGTAGGAGTTGTCTTGCCACATGTTTGTAATATTGAGCAAGTTGGCTCATCGTGGGAATTGTCTCTCAACGGGTTCTTAGTAGCGAGCGAACTGGTTCCTCGTGGGAGTTGTCTCGCTGTTGGTTTGTAATACCGAGCGAGTTGGCTCTTCGTGGGAGTTGTCTCGGAATGGGTTCTTAGTACAAAGCGAGTGGGCTCCTCGTGAGAGTTGTCTCGTTGGAGAGTGGTAAGAGCACGCGACTTGGCACGGAGGTCGTGATCGGTCCCGGGCGCGGATCTAGTTGAGAGTAGATCGGCATCGTAGTTTTGCGTTAATCATTGTTATGCATAAATAATAATAAAGATGTCATTGTTCATTCCTCTCCGCTTGTTTTTTTAGGGCGGCGAGGGCGTGCTAGGTGGCGGGGCGTGCGCGCGATGGGCTTGCGGCTAGGGCGCTGGGCGGATAGTAGAAATAGTCTAGGTAATACATGTTGTAGTATTACTTATATTATAGGACGTACCTTAAGAAATGAGTTCAAACATTTATTTATACCTCATTGATTGGGCTGAAGTTTAATTAGTTGAGATTGTCGGGCCTATTAGCGTATATATTATATATATTACGTATACTATTATTATTCTTATTTGAGGGCCAAAACCTTATTTGAGGGTGACTGGGCGTCAGTAGTATTGGTCTTTAATATTGGACTCATGGCCCAGTGGCACTAGGCCAAAACAGGACACTGGCGACGTTTTTTTTCGCGACGAAAATAATTTCGTAGCAAATTGGCGACGTTAATAAATAAATATCGTCGCACGTTCCATCTCGCCACCAATTTTGAAAATGATTGCGACGAAAATCCTAGATTCGTAGCAAACAATTATAATTTGGTTTTTTTAATAATTAACTATTGCGACGAATTATAATTTTTCGTAGCAAAATATTTAAATATTATTTTATTTTATCTTGTTTGCGACCAAAGTATGTAAACCGTCGCAAGATATTTCTGAAAAATATTTTTGGGCGACGGAAATATGTGAATCGTCGCAACCTATGCATTTAAAAATTTTAATTTTATTTTATTTGCGACGAAACTTAGAAATCGTTGCCACATAACACCAAAAAAAAGTTTTTAGTAAATTTTACTAGCGACTAATTACAATAATCGTCGCAGCGTATCTCCAAAAATATCTTATTGGCAACGAAATAGTATTTTATTTGCCAGTGGAATTTTAAATGTCACCACCTACCCTAAAGTAAAATTTACTTTATTTGCGATGAAATTCTCGGAATCGTCGCTCACGACTTAATTTATTCACTTACCCCTCTCCATTTCTGCCGTTGCCCTAATATTTTACTCTCTCTTCCTCCACACTCCCTCCCTTTTCCCGTCATTCTCACCGCCGATTAAATTGACGCTGTCAATCTTCTCTCCCCAAGTTTACTCACTTTTCTTAATTTTGCAGACTGATTTCTAGAGAGAGAGATGGCGACTATTGTGGCAGGTGGGGTGGACAGAAATGCGACGTTGTCGCCGGAGGCGGCGCTTGCTCCGGTGACTGAGGATCGACCGGTTCGGACCGACTTGGAAACCTCTATTCCAAAGCCATGTGAGTTGTTAATGAATATGATCGATCCTCTTTTCTAGGTATATATATATATATATATATATATATATATATATATATATATATATATATATATATATATATATATATATCTGTGTGTGTGTGTGTGTGTGTGTGTGTGTGTGTGTGTGTGTTTTGGGATTAGGGTTTCAGAACTGGTGTTTTTTTTCTTCTGAATTATGGATCTTTTCACTGTTGAATTTGTTCTTCGGGTTTTGGAGAGATTTGTTGGATTTTTAGCTTAATTAATTAAAGCTATGGTTCTTGATTAGGGAAATTAGGGAGATTGGGGTAGAATTTCCACTCAACAGTAGGGGTGCAAATTGGAACAATTTTTTTGATTATGCTGATTTTGATCCGAAAGTTGTTTCGGATTCTGGAACAATATTTTTAAATTCGTTTCCGAAACTCCAGACTTAATGATTTTTCTGAAATTATTTGTATCGGAAGTGGAATATATATGAGATTTCATTGTAGTTTCGAAAATAATTCCAAAAATTCCATGTTGTTTTCAGAATATTACAATTAAAATACAAATTATTATGTATTTTATGTTTAAGGTGAGCGAAAATTGGAAAATTCCGAATTATGCAGATCAAGTTTTTGCCTCCGAATTTTTGAAATCCTGATTTTCGATTTTTTCCAAATCGGAACGGAATTGAAACTAATAGGTTTTTTTTTTTTTGGCATAGTTACAGTTGGGTAGATATAATAACCATTGGATCATACATCATCTTAGATATGGCAAGGGGAATAGTCACGGGAATTAATCGGAATTAACGGGAGCTTTGCATGGCATACACGAATTCGTACTTAACTTTTTTTTTTTTTGTTTGTTGGATTTTAGATATGGCTAGGGGGTTGGTTGCACCCGATATGGACCACCCGAACGGAACACCGGGGCATAACCACAACAATCTGAGTGTGCTGCAGCAGCATTGTGCTTTCTTCGATCAAGACGATAATGGGATTGTTTTTCCAGGGGAGACTTATGCTGGTAAAATTTTTAATTAAATTAAATTTCTTTTATTGAGAGATTCAAGAATTATGGTTTGTCGATTTAATTGTTGTATGTAATTTCTCAGGGCTTCGGCAAATGGGGTTCAACATCATTGCTTCTCTTGTATTAGCCATCTTCATTAATGTATTGCACGAAGGGGCAGCTTTTTGGTGAGGGACATCGATAGGAACTTGACCAATCGGGTTACTGCGAGGGGCGTGGATTTGTTTAAGGCGTCGGGTGTGAGTGTGCAGTAGGGTTGATACTCTATCTGTCGGTAGAAGAATTCCCCTGCTCAAGGTACGTACCTCACTGTTTATAAGTTGCTTTCTTGAATAGGAAGAATTATTTACTTGCTCTGCTTCAAGATCTAATTTCTAGGAGAACGTGATTAGAAGTGGTAATTTAAGCATGTTACTTCTCTATAATGTGTGGATAATGATTATCCCCGTTCATTTCTGTTTAAGCTTTAACTGTGTTTTTTTAATAATGAAAGATGGTAAAAATTTCGGTTTATGATTCTTTGTGTAAATTATAAATTGGGTATGAATAAATTTTAGGCAATAGGCTTCGTTTTATATGCATCATTTGGTTTGATAGCAGTTTCTTCATGTTAGATAGTAGTTGTTGATGTTGATCGATGTAATGGATTATACGCCTCTTCTTTATTTTATTTTATTTTATTTTATATTGTGAACTTGTACTTGTTCGTATTTATAATGCTTATATACTTAAACATTTTTTTCAGGCACGCTTGGAAATAGTTTATGATCAAGTGGAGATAACTAATGATGAATGGATAAAAGAATGTGGATCAACTCCTTTATGTAATTCTACAATATTTTTCTTATTTTTTGTATTTTTTTAAACTTTATTTGGATGTATTTGACCTTAAATTACAATTTTAATGCGATGTGTTATTATATCTAATAGTTAATTGTGTTATTATAGTTGATAATTAATTACAGGTTAATTTCTATATTATTATTCAGCGAAAAAAAATAAAACAAAAAAATTGCAATGTTCCTAGAAAAACGTCGCAAATTAATGAATAAATGTTGCGACGAAAATATTAAAAACGTAGCGAATTGAGGGATAAATAGTTGCGACGAAATATTTTTTCGTCGCTATTTGCTACAAAACGAATAACCCAGAAAAACGAATTATTATGACGAAATATGCATTCGTCGCCATATGTTGCGACGAAAAAATAGATTCGTCGCAGGCTTAGCGACGACCGCTTTGGCGACGATTTTTTGGCAGCGTTCGCGACGATTGTTTTTCGTCGCAATTATTGATATTTCGTCGCAAATACCATATTTTCGTCGCTAGTTTTCGTCGCTAGTTTTCGTCGCTAGTTTTCGTCGCCAGTAAAGAAATTGTAGGCCTATCGGGTTGGCCCAATTAGTTATATCACATATTAACTTGTGCATATATTCCGATTGTCTTTATTGAAGGAATTATACATCGCAAACAAATATTTTCGTAACTAATTGTACAATTTGATGTAACCATAATTTTGTTGAACTCAATTTTATGATGTACTATTTCTAGTTTACAAAGTTCCTTATGGTGTACTATTTCGTAAAAAAAAATGTAAAAATGAAGACACATTGGAAACTTAAGCTCATGATCCCCATCCCAACTCTCATTGATCATTTCTACATGTGATAGTCATAGATTCCAACAATCATAAGAAGGAAAAAGGGGGGGGGGGGGGGGGGCATAAATAGCGTTAATCCCTATGGTCACAAACTTTTACAGATGACCCTCTTGTGCTCGTAATATAAAAATATATAACCCCTTTGTGATAGATAGGGGTAGCGTCCGTTAGTTTTTCCGTCAAACTTAACCGCGCGTGCCACACTTCAAGTGGTCGTCCCCAAAAAAATAAAGGGAAAATGTAAGCACAAGTCAGTCATCTAAAAAAATATAGTATTATTTTGACGTTTGACATGCGTAGTTAATTTTAACGGGAAAACCAACGGACACTAAAACTAGTAACCACAAGAGTGTTATGTGCTTATATTACGAGCACAGTGGGGTCATCTGCAAAAACTTGAAAGCAGAGGGTTTAAATGCTATTTAACCAAAAAAAAAAAAGGGAATAGAAACATGATTATCTTGGGCTGGATAATTGTTCTGATTGCTTTGGAGACTCTGGTAATAGTAGATCCAACTGCTCATTGGATCTCTTCATTTATTCTTCCTCATTACATACTAGAAAGTATTCCCACTTTTGAGCCAACAATAAGCCATCTCCAAGTTCTAGCATCATCCTCACAATATCCGACATATTCGGACGTCTCTCCGGGTTTTCTTGTGTGCAGAGCAGAGCTATTTTAATCATCTCCTCCACCTCTTCCTCAATGTAATAATTATTACCTCCAATATCAGGATCAACAATCTTCTCCCATTTCTTCTGCACTAACATTCTCTTTACCTAAGAATAGATATTTATACTAACATAAGTTCAACATAGACACACACACACACACATATGCATGTTACAAGGCAATTATATATACATAGGGTCTCACCCAATCAAGTAACATTAGATCTTCGTCATTGGCAAGCGTAGAAATATCTAAAGCTCTCTTCCCCGTGACGAGCTCAAGAAGAAACATACCATAACCAAAAACATCACTTTTCTCCGAAATCGTACCCTTGGAGACATATTCAGGAGCTATATGACCTATTGTTCCTTGTACAACGTCCTCCACATGAGTTACGCTGTGGTTCATGTGTATGGCCAACTCAAAGTGTCCTATAATTGCATCAAAGTCCTCGTTCAAATATATATTTGCAGCTTTCACATCGCGAAATACGATTTTCTGTTCACAGCCACCGTGCAAATAGGCTAGACCCCTTGCAGCCCCGAATACTATATGTTTTCTCACTTGCCAATCAAGTGGAGGTTGTGACTCCGGTCGATCTGCAATAACACTACTTAATTTCAAACAAAGTATTAATTAATGGGCATCTACTCTATGAACACCCGTGCAGTCAAGGATATATTACATTTACTCTTGAGGTACGCTTCGTATAATAGTTTCCCCTATATGGCGTCAATAACAACGGAATCTTTTAGATTCCATGAATGTTTCTCCAAAAATACTCCAATTTTACCCATTTAACTATCAAATGTTTTTTTCAAAAAAAAAAAAAAATATCAAATGTTTAACTATAGGATTTTTTTAGGGGATTAATTATAATATTTCTAGAGAATATAAAATACAGTTGATTATGAATATGGATGGCGAAATTTTTTTTTCTTACTTCATTTGCTTTTTTTTTTTTATCTCAAATATTAATGGCTCGAGAAATTACCTCTTAAGCATGATGCAACGCTTCCGTTGGCCATGTATGGATGAACGATCATCTTTTCTTTTTGCGTAACGCAAATACCAATTACTCGGAGTAAATTTGGATGCGCGTTAACAATGCTCATCGTTTGCAAATTTGCAGGTGAGATGTCTCGTAACTGTTTATATCTTTTAATCGCCACTAGAACGCCATTTGCTAACCGGCCTTTGTAGGACATGTTAAATCCATTTTTTGAAAGGATATTTCTATCAGAAAAGTTATCTGTTGCAATCTCCAATTCGTTTAGAGAAAATGTGCTAACTCCTGCATGCAAGCGCCCCACGCATCACCAATTAAAATACAAAACAAGTAATGTAGGAACACACACAGACATATATATATTATTCGTTTGGTTGTCAAGATAAGATTAGCCAAGATAAGATTAAATAATCTAATGAAATCTAATTGTATTATTGGATATTGGAAGATCCAATAAAAAAAAGGTAAATAACACTTAACCCCCTGTGGTTTGAGCTTTGTGCACATGACCCCCTTATACTTTCAATATAATTATAAGCACATGAACTCCCTGTAGTTTGAACTTTGTGCACATGACCCGTTGTACTTTTAGTCTAAGCACATAACCTCTCTATGGTATTGAATTTGGTAAATAATCAGGCTTATTAGGAAGAAGAAATTTTTGAAAGTACATGGAGATTGTGTGTTTATATTAAAATACAAGGAGATCATGTGCTATATTGAAAGTACTTCATATGCACAAAATTCAAACCACATGGAGGATAAGTGCTATTTATCCATAAAAATTGTCTGGAATGTAAGATAGGGTATGGTAACATAATATTTGCTGGTCGGTCAGTAAATTAGTGGGATACCAAACATGAAACAAAGTCCAAATATTTAGCTAACAATGGCTAATCTTCCCAACCAAACGAGGAGTTAGAAGACTAACCAGGAATATTGATGATATGATTTTCTTGCTTTGTTTTCTTAGCTTTGTACCAATTAGCAGGAAATAACTTTCGTGTGATATTGGCTCCACCAGATTTGTTGCCAACTGCAATAACAATAAGCAACAACAGCCAAATGTTATTCATTAAAAATGTTTTAGTTGAATTTAGAGCCCCACTATAGAAGATGTAGATTACAAAATATTAAAGCTTTTCGAACCGAGTTTTTTAATTAGGAAGATTACACTTTTTATCCCAATTTTATATCTGGCCCCCCATTTACGAAGAATAAATTTGGTCCCTCATGTTTCAATAATTTAACTTTTTGGTCATTTCCGTCATTTTACCGCTAACTTGCAGTGACGGGCACATGCTTGGTTCCGTTAGTAATAACGGAGAATTGACGAAAATGACTAAAAGTATTGAATTTTTGAAACATGAGAACCATATGTGGAATATGTGCAAACTTTAGGGATGAAAAATGCATTTTTCCCTTTTTTTAATTCATCAAAGCATTGGATAAATTACGAACCTGGAGAGACAGTTGGCGGGTTATTAAGTTGCAATGGAGCTGGTGGAGATACGGATGTAGCCGCTGCCCATCTCTTACTACTGGAAAATATTGAAAAATAATCTTCATTTTTTAATACAATCAAAGATCTCTGCTTTCCGGAAATAAAAAATATATAATAATAAGGGCAAATTACGGCCACCTCCTGAATTATGGTTAAATTACGAAAACCCCTTCTATTTGGGTAATTACAACCACTCCCTCAACTATATATTATCTTACGAAAATACCCCTCCAAAGATAAACTTATGGATGTTAAATCGTTAAACCGAACTGAAATTTCGGTACGCCAACATTTCTTACCGTTTACCGAACTGAATATACGATTTAGTTCGGTAAATAGCCGAATTACATTAATTTATGTAAAAATATTTAAAAGAAGAAGAGTTGTTACGTTGTAATTAACCAAACAAGAGGAGTTCTTTCGTAATTTGGTCATACACCAGGAGTAACCCTAATTTACCCATCATAATAATGATAAAAAAATATTACTCGCAAAATTGTTGGTTGAAATGATCATCGTTATCATCCTCCCATGAAGATTTGGTGCTGATAGAGTGAGAGTGGAATAGTTCCCAAATCTGCTGCTTCCGTACAACCGCTGTCACTAACCTCTCCCAATTATCCCTAGATGAGTACATCTCTCTAATCTCTCTCTCTCTCTAAACTTTTCTCTCTCTAGCTTACGATCACAATATAGAATTAATTATATAATATGAATTTTTTCAGATTTGATTAATATGTTTAAAATGTTGTTTCGCTGAAATTGTGTGGAGAGAGAGAAGTGAAGGAGAAAACGCGTTCTTCCTTAGTCAAAGTCAAACAGAGTGGGACTCAATTTACATATTCCAAGTCTTTGCAGTGTCACAGTTGATCTTTTCCTTTTCCTCTTTTATTTACAGTAAATAGATCAACAGTTAATCAACCCTCGTCAGGAGAGTTGGTATCTAGCCTTTATTAATAGGGTAAAGGTTTAGGGTTCGGGTCCCCCTCCCCTACTTCCCCTTGTAATGGATTTGAATTTACTCAAAAAAAAAAATCAACAGTTAATTAGTAACGCCGGTGATTTCTTTTATTTATTTATTATTTTTTTTTCAGATATTCAATCAACACATTATAATTAGAAAAATATGATCGTAGTCAACAGAGTAAAATAGCCGGAGAAAAAAAATGTTAAGCGGCGACAATTTGAAATACTTATTCAAATAAGGAGAAGATCAAATTAAATTTTCCAATGTAGAAATACTATAGCACCCTTAAAAAAAATGACATAAGGCAAGAAAATCAAAATTTAAACTATAAAAAATTACCCACAAGACAACAAATAACACAAGACCACAAACCCATGGATAATTATATATTTCGTCCCTGTACTTCGCCTCTTATTCGCTTTATGTCCCTGAACAAGTTGAAGTGATATTCTTCGTCCTTAAACATGCCACTTTTCTGTTGTTTTCGTCATTCCGTTAATTTGGCTGATTAGTTTGGATGGAAAACAACGTTTTTGAAATCTCACCCTTCTTCTTATTTCCTCAATTTTAGTTAATCTCAAATTGCGCCAAACATTTCCCTCTACAAATCCATAATTCCAGCTCTTTGTTTAACACATAAATCTTTGGCCCCTATGTTCACAAAAAATATATTTGGTCCCTCGTGTTTAAAAATTCAACATTTGTAGCCATTTATGTCAATTTTCTATTAAAGCTAACAAAATCAAGGGTGTGTCCATCACTGCTTATTGGATATGTAGCTGTTATATAAGCTGTGTAGTATTTTCTGTATAGCATTTATCATTTTCTGTATAGCATTTATCATTTTATATTTCTGTTCTTAATAAAACGTGTTTTAGCTATCACGTTTTTATTAGTTTTTCTTTTCTTTTAGCGTTTTTAGGTAGTTATTGTAACAGCTATTTAAAGCTGATTTTGTTACCGTTGTAAAATATCTTTTCCTTTTTTTCTCAATACCAATTTCTTCTTCCTTCTTCCTCCTTTGATTTTTCTTCTGATATGAACCCCAGTTTAGGGTTCTAACATGGTATCAGTTTTTTAATCGATTCGATCTGCCGATCGTGTTTTTTTTTCTCGTTTCCGCGCGATTATCTTTTTGATTGTTCATCTATCATATCGATTGCTGTTTCTGGTGTTTATAATTCATGGCGCCGCCAGCTCGTTCTCCGTTGGATGATGTTTCGCATCCGATGTTTCTTCATCCGTCGGATGGTCCGAATTTGATTCTGGTTTCGCAGCTCTTAACTGAAGACAATTATGCTTCGTGGTCGCGAGCTATGACTATTTCGTTAACGGTGAAGAACAAAATTGGGTTCATCGATGGCACGATTTCTGAGCCTGCTGCTGATGAGTTGGTTATGCGTAATGCTTGGATTAGGAATAATAATATTGTTATGTCTTGGATTATCAATTCGGTTTCCAAGGACATCCAAGGTAGCATTATGTACTCCAATTCGGCCAAAGAAATTTGGGATGATCTAAAAACTAGGTTTTCACAGACAAATGGTCCTCGCATCTTCCAATTGCGTCGTGATTTGGCGAACCTTACCCAAGGCAGTCAATCAGTGAATGTATATTTCACTAAGGTCAAGGCAATTTGGGATGAATTGGCGAGTTATAGGCCATGTTGTTCTTGTGGAAAATGTGATTGTGGTGGTTTTGAAAAGTTACAGGCTCATTATAATCAAGAGTATGTCATGAGTTTCCTTATGGGGTTGAATGAAAGTCTAGCCTCCACTCGTGGTCAAATCTTGCTCATGGATCCACTCCCTCCCATTTCTAAGGTGTTTGCATTCATTTCTCAAGAAGAACGTCAGAGATCAGTTGTTTCTTCACATGTTGAGTCTTCTGGCTCTGTTTTTTCTGTCAAGAATGAGGGGTTTAAGCGGTCCATTAATAATCAGTTCTACAATACTGGTTTAAAGAAGAGAGAACGCAGTTTCTGCACACATTACAATATGCAGGGTCACACTGTGGAGAAGTGTTATAAACTGCATGGATATCCTCCTTCTTATAAGCCACAGAAATCTCGTTTTTCTTCTCATGTTAATCAGGTTTCTGGTTTTGATTCTTCTTTGGATTCTCATTCTTCAGATTCAGGTGTAAGCTCTCAAAAAGTGGATGGTTATCTTCAGTCCATGACTCCTTCTCAGTGTCAGCAGTTCATGTCTATGTTTTCTTCACACATGGCTGCTCAACAGCAACTATCTACTGGTTCTGCTCAGCCACAATCTGCTCAATCTGCTCTTGGAGCTGATACAACTACGGTTTCTTGTGTGACAGGTATTTGTGCTTTATCTGGTGTTCCTTCTTTATCCTCTGCTGATTGGATTTTAGATTCAGGTGCTTCTAAACATATTTGTCATGATAAACAGTTGTTTATTAATCTCAGGCCTGTTAGTAATTTCAGGGTTCTTTTGCCTGATTCTTCTGTGTTAATTGTGTCCTTTGTGGGTGATGTTCGTTTGTCTAAGGAGATTTTTCTTACTGGAGTTTTTTATGTTCCTCAGTTCAAGTTTAATCTTATTTCTGTGAGTGCTTTTCTTCAAGATAATCAGTTTTTTATTGGTTTTTCTACATTTACTTTTGTCATACAGGACAAGTTCTTCAAGATGATTGGCAGGGGTAGAAAAGTTGAGGAGCTTTATGTTTTGGATTCACCTCCTTTTCTGCCACCTCCTTCCATATC